CTTCTCTGGACAGCCTGTTCCAGCTTCTCACTGCCCTCACAGGGAAAAATTCCCCCCTAATCTCTAATCTAACCCTGTCCTCTGTCAGTAGGAAGTCATTCCACCTTGTTCTGTCACTCCATGCTCTTGTCCAAAGTCCCTCTACTGCTCCCTTGGGGCCTTTTTAGTTGCTGGAAGGTGCCGTAACATCTCCACAGAGCCTTCTCTTCTAGAGGCTGAACATTCCCAGCTCTCCCAGCCTGGCTCCAGAACAGAAGTGCCCCAGTCCTCGCAGCATCTCCGTGGCCTCCTCTGGACCCGTTGCAGCAGCTCCACATTCTCCTCAGGCTGGGTCAGCCCCGGGGACGGGCGGTGCTGCCGGAGCCCGGCAGAGCCCGGTCCGCTCCCGGTGCGCTCCGGCGGAGCAACAGCCTCCTCTGCCGGCGGCTGCCCGGGATCGGCGCCGGGACCAGGACGGAACCGGCCCTCGAGCCGAGACACACGGCGGGAGGGGACGGAAGGAACGGCCAGAGGCACCGGCAGCGGCAGCGGCACCGGCACCGGCAGCGGTACCGGCACCGGCACCGGCAGCGGCACCGGCAGCGGCTGGGAGGAGCTGCGGGCGGGAAGCGGGTGCAGGTGGGGAGGGGGCTGCCCAGAGCAGGGGTCCGTGCCCCCAGCCCAGTGGCAGAGGGCTCGCCAGGCCCACACTGCCGTGTGCCGCACCAGTGGCACGGGCCATGGCTGGTGCCACGCCGGGACACGCATCGGGCACGCAGCATCGGGCAGCAAGAGGGACAGGGCCCCGCAGAGCCCCGGGCCACCAGCACCAGCCAAAGGGCCAAGGCTGCTCGGGAGAGGCAGGTGACCCCCACATCGCCATGCATGGGGTCCCTTTGAGTGGCACATGCCACATTGTGGCAAAGGTGTCGCTCAAAGCGACCCCATGCATGTGACCAGGCTGCTCACAAAGCCCCTGGTTCCTGCTCGTGTTTCCTTTTGATTTCTTTTTGATTTAGACACAGAGTTCTGCCAGCAGCAAATGCATTTGGCTGCTCGGAACAGGGATGACGCACACAGGAATTTCCAAGTGGGAAAGTATGATCGTTGAGCTGTAAAAACCCTGGATGAGGCCACAGAGGTCACATTGGCTTCAGCACAGATGCCTGCATCCTGGCAGGCTGGCCTTGTCACAACTTCCCAGGCAGGGTGTGTCCCTGGTGTCTCTGGTGTCCCCACCTGGGGACATTCTCCAGCACAGGACAAGTCTCCTCCAACAGTCCCTCGAAAAGCCTGGTTCTGTCCCTCTGCAGCCCTGGCTGTCCCCTGGCTTTGCTGCAGCCCTGCCAGTCCCATGTCCTGCCCCCCAGTCCAGGCCATGTCTGCCCAATTTACCAGCAGCACCTGCAGGTGCCCTTTGCCATTCAGTGAGGCACAGAGAGATGTGCCTGCATGGCCACAGCCCAGCGATGAGAGGAGCCACAGAACAGCTCCCTGGCAGGGCTGCAGTCCCTTGACCATGCTCCTTTCTGCATGGAATGGGATGCAGCAAGCAGAGGTCCTGCTTGGCAGGGTCTCAGACACAGCAGTGGCAGCATGGCGGGGTCCCCAAGAGCAGGGAGCACACCTCACCCTTGGCATGGTCACCCTTCACATGCTCAGCTGGGCTCCCTGTGACCCCCCACACCTTTGACCTTGGGCATCCCAGGGTCACTTGTCACCAGTCTGGGAGCATGGGGAGGGAGAGGCAGCCCCAGTGCTGACCCCGCCACAGCACCCATCTGCTGGGACATGTCAGCAGCCAGCGACGTGTCGGCACTGAGCCACCAGCCTGTCCCCACGGAGGAATGGTGCTCAGCAACGGGTGCACCCAGCCTTGTGTCTCCTGGAGGTTTCCCACGCTCTGCTCCCCCTGAGGCCATGGCTGCCCGCAGGGACCCAGCCAGTTGTCCCCTGAGGCTCCACTGGCAGACGTGGCATGACGTAGGTACCAGGCCAGGACTGGAACAGGCCGGTGCTGGGTCTCTGGGATGGGCACAGCCCAGCAGACCCACAGCCCTGTGTCACCCCAGTGACACACTGCCAGGACAGCAGCCCCCAGGGAAACATCTTCCTGAGCAGCCCCCTCTGGGTTCCTATCCTACAAATTCAGCTAATCACTTGTCACAGCTGAGTAGTTCTGGGCTCCCAATGGATGTAGAGTGACCCCAGCCCATGGTCTCATTTCCCTTTCCCTGTGAGAGTGCTAAGGGTCCTTCCCCCTGCTGCAACTGGGTTGCCAGGGCTGGACAAGGCCAGGTAAATCATTTCTCAGGTTGTCATTGCCTCGGGCACAACTGTGACACGCAGCAGCAGAGAGTGTTTTGGCACACGAAGATTATGTGCATGGCCCCTCCCCAGCCCCACACAAATATAAACCCTGCCAAACTGCTCTCCTCATCCATACCTTTGGCTTTCACCAACATGAAGACCACCATCATTCTGCTCCTGGGCATCCTGGCCCTGTGTGCCCAGCTTCAGGCAGCCCCTACGACTGCTGAGGACACAGGTGAGTGCTGGGGGGCTTGGGGTGGATGCCTTCTGCTAGCCCCTGGAGCACTGCTGGGCTGACTGGGGCAGGGGTCCCGGATGGAATGAGCAGGTAGGAGCAATCCCCCAGCACAGAGCCAGGTACATGCCAAGCTCCAGAGCACTCACACACCACCGAGGTCTGCGCCGCAGGGGCAGTGTGGGCAGGGGGGACTTGGCTGTGGCAGGATGTGGCAGTGTGGCAGGAGCCCTCAGCAGGTGCACAGCTGGACCTGAGGGGCCATGCACCAGTCCATGCCCATGGTGCAGGGACCCTGTGCTGCTGACTGAGCGTCTCCAGAGGATGGGGTGTCCCTCTGTACCCCTGTACTTCCTATCCCTGCTCTGTGCCAGCAGCGGGAGGCTGGCTCACTGCTCGGGGGCACCTCAATGTGCCCCTTTTAATCATTGACCACATTCCCTCAGCAGTCAGGTGACATGACTCCAGCACCTTCCCTGCTGCCATGGAGGAGCCACGGTCACCTGCGAGGTTTGGGCGCAGCCACCGTGACCAGGCTCAGTGGTGGTGGGCACAGATCCCAAGGGATGCAGCAAAGACTTTGGGGTCTGGCTTGAGGCTGCTGATCCCATGTGCTCAGCCAGGATCCTCCCTGGCCATGGAGGTAGCTCTCAGACCCCTGTACTCCCCACAGCCATCCTCAGCCTCTGCAGAAGAAGCACCTGGCAGAGCCAGGGTGGGGACACCAATATCCCGGATGCCATACACTGGGGACAGGAGCCAGAGCATTCCTGTCTGTCAGAAGGTGATGCCAACTGTGTGGGCTGGATCTGCTGGCCCTGCTGCCAGCTTCCTCAGTCCCTCTCCAGGTGCTCCAGCTGGCTGGGGGCAGCTTCAGCTGGATTGTCCCCTCAGCAACCAGCTGGGCACCTTGGAGCTGGGCCACAAGTGTGGGCAAAACCACTGGTGCCTCCACTGCTCCTGCCAGCTCTCAGTTTTCCCTGTGGTTTTCCCCTTGTCTCTTTCCATGAGCCTTCCATTTCTGGGCTCCCATCTGCTGTCATCCAGCTGCTCTTGTGCTGGCATTCTCCCTCACAGCCTGCCAGTGCTGGCTGCTCAGTGCCAGCACCAAGATCACCCCACACTGGGGTCACCCCATGCTGGGGCAGAGTTGTCACAGGGTCAGACCAGGGCAGTGATGCTCAAAGACAGCACCAGCACAGGGCCACAGCCAAGTCGCCGTGGGACACCAGTGACCCTGGGTGGGTAGTGTGGCACTGGCAGCAGTGCTGCTGCTCTAGAGAAGCTGCTGCTGGGTCCAGGTGGGCTCTGTCTCTGTGCAGCATAGGTAGGGAAGGTGCAGGTCCCTCCTCTCCATCCTGGTGGGCAGTGTGCTCACCTCCCAGCCATTACCACCCCCATCCCACCATGGCCAACATAGCACTGTGCTCTGGCCCTGGTGCAGGGGTCACTGGGCTGCAAGATGCTTATTTTCATTGCTGGCATCCCGATGTTGGCCCTGGGCCCACTGTGGGAGCATCTCAGCCAGCCTGAGCATGGCCAGGTCCCTGCAGCTCCTCAGCGAGGCCCCATCCGGAAGGGCACAGGGAAAACGGCTGCCTGATGATCTCCCTGCCACCCCAGGCCTCTGCCCATGTGTCACTCCCGCTGCCGTCAGCGGTGACATGAGGTGCGGCAGTGGGGCAGGCGGCTGAGCGCCGGCTCCTGTTCCTGCATAAACACCTGGCAGGGAGGGGACCACAGGCAAAGGCAAACAGTTACTGATTTACTGCCACGCCGCCGTGCCACATTGTTGACTGTGGGGTTAAATTACCTGGAGACGGACCCCGGCAGAGCAGACGCCAACTCGTGACTCAGGCAGGGATCATGTCCCGGCCCCATGCACCCTTGGCCCATGCAAGTCTGCAAGATGCCTGGAGCTGGGGCTGCCTCCACCAGCAGCAAGAGCACATCACAGGAACAGGGCAGGTTTCATCCTCCAGCAGGAGGATTGGTGCTGGCAGAGTGGCAAATGCTGATGTGAGCAGGGCAGCTACGCCAGGTGGGCAAGCTGGGCACAAACCATCCCCAGCTTGACACTGCCAGGGACAGTGAAGTGTCCTGATGCACCAGATGTGCCATGGGAAGGGTATTCCGGACAGGCCAAAGGGACTGGGGTCCTACAGCCCCAGTACCACCATGCCCCCGAGCAATGGGAGTGCATGTCAATGACGCACTCCCTGACAGCCGCTTGCACAAATGGTGGTCATGGTGGTCATGGCGGTCGGATGGTCCATCTGCATCCTCAGTGCTGTGGGAGACTGTGAGGATGGCAGGGTCCGTGGGACAGGGCTATGGCTGGGCAAGAGCTCCCGTGGCTGTGGGAAGGTGCAGGGCAGCCCCAGGGCAGGCACCTGCCCAAGGCACAGGCAGCCTGGAGGACCCTTCACTTGAGGAGCAAGAGCTGGAGGAGAACAGTGGCTGGAGCAGGAGCAGGAGCTGGGTGAGCAGCAGCAGAGCTGAGCCACAACCCTGTCTGCATTGCCGGCTCCTCCCGGCCTCGGGGCATCAGCGACCCAGGCCAGGGCTCCTCTCAAGCTCATGGCTGTGGCCGAGGCGGTGCGAGGTGAGTGTGAGCAGGGTCGGGCCATGCCCCGTTCCCGGCGCACTCGCTCCTGTGGCAAGCGGTACCGCTTCATCCCGGGGCCGATCGCCAGGCAGGGCCGTGGAGCCCCGGCGGGCTCGGTGTGGGGCTGCCCGGGGTCCGGCGTGCGGGGCCGTGCCCAGGGGCGCTCGGCTGCTGTTCCTGCCGGGCGAGTTCTCGGCATGGCCGCCCAGTCTCCTCGAGGCTCCCCCTCCCTGGTCGGCAGCCAGCAGCAGCAGATACCTGATACTCGGGTTGTGCAAGCGCGAAGGGGGAGCCTGGCCCTGCCCGGCCCTTGGGAGCCACCCGGAAGGCCGAGCCCGCCGGCCCCACCTGGAGAGGAGCTTAAAGGCCGGCCGGGCGGCCCCAGCGCAGCCGGTTCCTGCACCATGCCCGCGGCCCGCAGCGTCCTCATCTTGGCGGGGCTCCTGGCTCTCTGGGCAGAGCTGCTGGCAGCATCCGCCCAGAATGACACCAGTGAGTATGAGCGCATGGCCCGGCACGGCTCGTCACGGCACGCCCGGCGAGCGGCCAGCATCCCTCCCTCCCAGCCCCAGGGCAAGCCGGCGTGGGGGCCGGGGCGAGCACCGGCCCGTGCCCGGCGCGGTCGGGCTCGGCAGCATCCCTGGACCCAGCCCTGGGGCCGGGGCAGCATCTCCCGGAAAGGGACGGCGCCCTCGCCCTCGCCCTGCCCGCCGCCCCGCGCCTGCCCACGCCCCGCATTGCCTTGCAGCGAAAGCCGGCGTGTGCCCGAGCCCGGCGCTGGATGCGGTGAACTGCACGGTGGGGTGCCAGTCCGATGGCGACTGCGAGAGCACCCTCAAGTGCTGCCCGGCAGCCTGCGGCAAGGCCTGCCAGAAGCCTGACGGTAACACTCCCTCCTGCTCCTGGCCGCGCTGCCCGTCCCAGCCAGCACCACGGGTGCTCCAGGGTGCAGCGGTGGCACCGGGCCTGGGTGCCCGATGTGTGTTCAGCTGCAGGACGGGGGCTGGGGGCTGCATGGAAGCCCAGCAGGCTCGGGGTGTGCTCCTGATGGGCCACGCTCACACCTTCCTCCTCTCGGCGATGCAGGGGCTGAGTGGACACCCCTAAATGATGCTGGGGCTTGGGTGGAAGGTGGGGTCTGCGCCACTCCCCATGGCAGTCCTTGTTGCCTGCTCAGCCTTGTGGGCAGCTGCCAGCCCAGGATGGGGGGGCACCATTCTGTTGCTCACCACAACAGTCATTCTGGACAGCGACCCAAGGAGATGGGTGCAGGAGTTGGAAGCCACAGCTGCAGACAGATGGATATGACCTGGAGGCTCCAGAGCCTCCATGGCTACCCGCAGGACAGCGCTGGCTTGGCTGCACCACAGTGGAGGGCAGCATGGTGCAGAGCCAGAGCTCAATGCCAGTGGCAGGCAGTGGGACAGTGGGGCAGGGGCTCCACACTGCGCAAAGGCTGTTTGGGGGGCCTGTGATCCTGGCTGAGGCCTAGACTGCGCCCCCATGCTATGAGCAAACAGCACGGGCCATCCATGGCAGTTGTAGAGGACAGCAGGGCCAAGGCCTGCATCAGGTCTGCATGTTGTACCTGTGCATCCTGTGCCAGCCATGTGTCCCTGAGAGGGAACACTGAGCATAGGGACTGTTGGGGATCACTATGCCGTGTGGCCTCCCTGATGTGTCCCCATCAGGTCCAGCTGGCAAGGAGCGCCAGCAAGCGGATCTATGGGATGGGGGAAATGCTGGGTACCGTGGTGATCCCTCCTCCATGGCAGATAGGGGCCAGGGCCATGCCCACAGCTTTGGGACCTGCTGGGTAGGCCCTGCCCCCCTTGCCAGGGCTAGCAGGTCTCAGCCATGTTCTTTTGTCTTTCAGAGAAGCCTGGCACCTGCCCACCCGTGAACCCGGGCATCCCCATGCTGGGTGTCTGCACCAACCAGTGCAAGACCGATGCCAACTGCTCCGGGATCCAGAAGTGTTGCAGGAATGGCTGTGGCAAGGTCTCCTGTGTGACACCCATCCACTGAGGTCAGCTGGGTGCATTCCAGCCCCAGGGATCCCACAGCACCGCAGCACGGCACCTATGCACCCATCCTGCTCACAGCCTCTCCTCCTTTGCAGGTGCAGATGCCTCCTGCCAGCTCAGCCACAGGGAAGCTGCTGCCCGATGCCCATCCCACATGCCCTGGCCGTGGCCCTGCACCATCCCCCTGGCTTGGAGCCTTCAGCCTCAGTTTTCTCCCTGGGGTTCTCTGCTCAGGGCAAGCCCCCTGCACTCTCTCCAATAAAGCAGCTTCTTCCTGACATGCTGTGGCTGCCTCTCCGTCCCACACCATGGCCACTCCTTTGTTCCATGCTCCTCTCCATCACAAATCATGGCAGCCTGTCCATCCCATACCAGGGATTCACACAAGCTGGAGCATCAACTGACTCTGTCATGCCTCCAAGGTCCCCTGCCTGTGCCCTGCCTGGGGCTGTCCCATGGGTCTATGGCCCCAGCTGTCCCTGCACGCTGGCTCCTCCACCTTGGGTCCTCCACCATGCTCAGAGCACTCTCGAGGTGCAGCTGTGTCCGTGTCCCATCAGAGCAGAGGGGCTCTCTGCTCCCTGCTCTGTAATGGCCAGGGACAAACAGGCTGCAGTGTGTGCTCATACACGAGCATCACCCAAACTCCTCCTTACCTCTGCCCTCCCAGCCTGGCCATGGCACCTTGCCCACAGCAGAAGCCTGAAGGAACTTTCTGCAGTGCAACTCACATGCCCTGCTCCCATGCCTGCCCCTGCCACATCCCTCTCCACCTGCTCAGATCTGGGCTCCTGCTCCTGTCCTGCTTTCCCCTGGCACTTCCTGCTCTCCACAGGTCTCCAGGGGCCCCGTTTCTTAGATGCCTCCTCCTGCTCCCAGGCCCTGGGATCAGAGCATGTTCCTTCTGCCTGGGAGGGGCTGGCACCTCCGTAGCCCCCACCTTGTCAGAGCCATCCCCTGGGACTGAGCAAGCCCCACACCTTGCCCAGCACTTCCCAGTGTCTGGTGCTGGTTCCCCCTCTCTCTGTGGTGCAGGTGCAGGCTGTGCCAGCACCACAGCTCCACAGCAGCTCTCCCTGCTCCAGGTGTGCCAGGAGGGATCCACTGGACACTGAAGACTGGGACAGGACTGCTCCTGTGTCCCATCCATGCTCTCAATGGTGTGGCTCTGGGAGTGCTGCTCAGCCGTTGGCCCAGCTGCTCACAGGTCACCAGTGACCTGGAAAGGGAGCTGCAGATGTGTCAGCCATGGGCCATGAGCCCAGAACTGCCCCAGGAGTCTCCCCCAAGCTGAATTGTTCATGCCCAGCACTCCCACAGTCCCGGAACTGTGCTGCCATGAGAAGGAGCAGCTTGGCTTGGCCAGCCCCCACTCCAGCAGGGTTTAAATCCCAGCCCCTTGCCCAGAAGCACATTGACTGCAGCGCAATGCTGGGCCACCGCACCCTTCTGGTGCTCCTGGCACTGCTGGCCCTGGCCCAGCAGCACAGCCCCAGGGACCAGGGCACTGCCTTCACCCTCACTGAATCCCCTCACCAGGCCCTGCAGGGACACTGGACCCCCACTGCCCCTCCTGCCCCCCCTAAAGTGGGTGAGTGCCCAGTGGGGGCGAGCGGAGCCCCTTGGCCCTCCAGACTGTACTGCCTCTCCGACCACAGCTGCCCTGGTGCTGAGAAGTGCTGCCAGAACGGGAAAGTCTGGACCTGCCTCCTGCCCACCACAGGTACCGCTGCTCACTCCAAGGGATGCCAGCACGAGGATCGGGCAATGGGTGGGATGTGGGCTGGTGCCTGTGTTGGTGCCCCTGGAGGGGGTGTCCCTGCTCCCTGAGACGTGGCTACATGGCTGCATGGAGCATCTCCCTCTGCAGAGAGCCCGGGCTACTGCCCCCGTGCTGGCAGTGCCATCGGGCCAAGCTGTGGGACGAGATGTCACAACGACACCACATGCCACTCGGGGGAGAAGTGCTGCACCCGCGGCTGCTGCACCCGCTGCGTGCCTGCTGAGCCAGGTGAGGTGTCCTGGAGATCCCATGCCAGGCTGAGGATGCCCTGGGGCAGCCCCAGGGCTCTGCAGCCCCCATCACACTACAGGGGAGTCGTGGGCAGTGGGGCCAGGCTGGCTGCATGCCAAACCCTGAGCCTTCCCTCCAGCCAAACCTGGGTTCTGCCCACGGAAACGTGCCCAGAGGAGAGCTGCCGCCTGCCCCAACCACTGCACTGATGACCGGGACTGCCCTGGGGAACACAAGTGCTGCTTCTCTGGCTGTGGGTTGGCCTGCACCCCTCCAGACACAGGTACAGCCCCGCCAGCCCTCTCTGATCCCCACATCCAGCCCACCACTGCACTGGTGCTAGCCCAGCTCCCCCCTGGCAGAGCCCAGTGTGTGCCCGGCCCTGCTGCTGGACAAGCCACAGCAGCTGTACCTGGCCAAGTGTGCAGCTGGTGGCATCCATCCAGGCCCCAGGGAGTGTGTGTCACTGGCTGTGGCTCCCAGTGCCACACGCCTGCCCTGGGCACAGCCCCAGCCCTCAGAGCTGGCCCTCAGGGTTGTGGGAAGGGATCCCCATGCCCAGCTCCTCTGTGATGGGTGGGAGATGGCTCTGAGTGCGTGAAAGGCTGAGCCCCCTCCTGACCCTCCCTCCTGCACCCCTCTTAGATTTCACCCAAAGTAAGGGTTGTCCTTCACCACTCCAGCTACCAGCTGGCATCCCCTATTGAGCTGTGACTAGATCAGACTGGTGTGGGTGTGAGGATGGTGACTGAGGTCTCGTGGTGCTTGGGGAAGGAAGATGGAGGCGCAGGACAGGGACAGGATGGAGACCGAGGCTGCGCCAGGAGCAGGACTGGGGACAGAATCCCAGCACAGCTGCCCTCTTCCCTGTCACCAGGGAGCCACCATACTGCAGCGAAGCCTGGCGTGTGCCCCACAGTGTTGCGGGGCTCCTTGGGGCCCTGCCTGGAGCGGTGTGACACTGACAGTGACTGCACTGGGGACGACAAGTGCTGCACCACTGGCTGTGGTCACGTCTGCAAACCGCCCACCAAGGGTAAACCATCAGCACCCTGTGGGGCCAAGACCCCTGTGCCCCCTCCCTGCCTGTCACCGTGACCCTCCAGGGGCAATGGGAAGCTGGGGACTGAGCTGCTGTCCAATGGGGCAGGAGCTCAGTGAGGAGCTCACCCCTGCAGGCAGGGCAGCTCCCCTACCCTGGAGGGGTGCCCTGAGCCCCTCACCCCTTTTTCTCTCCACATGTGCCAGCATGGCCAGGTCTCTGTCCCCCTGCAGCAGAGGGTGATCAGGCAGCCAAGTGCCTCCTCCCATGCCTGCAGGACAAGGACAGTCCCCTTGGCCAGAAGTGCTGCCTGCAGGGCTGCAGCTGGGTCTGCATCCACCCACTGGGGAGTACAGTCCCCTCCAGCCTGCTCCCTCCTGGAGGGGACAGAGGGGGGCCAGGGCAAGAGCACCACATGGCCCCCCATCCCTCAGAGAAGGAGCACTGAGGCATCCTCACTGACCACCTCACTTGCCTCTTCCAGGTACAGCATAGCCGTGGCCAGGAAGGACTGCACCAGGAGCTGCCACTTCAGGGTCATCCCCACCCCACTGCCATTGCACCCATGGGCTGAGCAGAGGTGCTGGTGCACCCCACACCGCTCCCTGCACTGGACCCTGTGCAAGGGCAGGATGGCACCAGCATTGACTCCGATGCTTCTGCTCAGAGTCCCTGGCGCTCCCAGCCATGCCATTAAGGGCTGCATGCTGCCTGCACTACCCATGGCCAAGACTCCTAGCAACCCCACATGAGGCAAAACCCTGCATCCACAATGGCCCCAGCTGCTCCACAAAATAAACCATCCCACAGGCTCTGGATCACCATTCCTGTTCTGTGCTCTGCTTCCCAGCCTGGGCTGCCCGCAGGCAGGGAGGTGCAGGCAGCCATCCCTGCAGGAAGGCACTGCCTGAGGGCAGGGAGAGGGTCCCAGTTCCATGCAGGTGACTTCCAGCCATCATTGTTCCATGGTAACCATCCTGCTGGGCCTGGGGGCTGCATGATGTCCCCTCAGCAGCCATGGACTGGAAAACCAGTTCCCTCAGATTCCTTGTGCCAAGGAAGGGCTCATTTGCATCCCAGAGTGTCAAAACCTGGTGGGAAAAGCAGTCACGGGTTAGGACAGATAGAGCACCCAGACAGGGAAGGGGGCAGGGAGCATGACCCATGTGCCAGGGCCAGCGGTGGGACCTGCTTACTCATGGTGCTGGATCCCAAGCAGTGCCATGCATGGAAGCTGCACTTGGCTGAGGAGCAGCACCATTGCAGTAGAGCTGTTAGAACCCCTCGTGCTGCGCCCACTGCCGTGCCAGGACCAAGCCATGGGGTCTATCCACAGCCCCAACTCCAGGGAGCAGAGGGGTGAGTGGCGCTGGAAGGAAACCCAGAGAGGGAGTGGCAGCCAGCTCCAGCAAGGATGGGGTGGTGCAACATGGGGGACAGCAGTGCCTGACCCCATCTGGCCTTCCCAGCCCCAGAGGTCACCATGACCCCAAAGCAGGGCTTAGGCAGAGATAAGCGGGATGGCTGGCGGGGCGCCGGCGGGTTCTGGGAACTGCCCCTCCTCCTGCCCCTCCTGCCCACAGCACAACCAGCTGCCACAGCAGGCAGCTCAACTTCAGCTGCCCTGGCACTTCAGGCACCCCAGATTTTAAACAAGCCCCAGCTCAGCTCCAGATATTCACAGCATCCCCAGCAGCACCATGAGCCCAGTTTTCCTCCTCCTGGGCCTCCTCATCCTCAGGGCAGAGCCGAGTGTAACACCAGAGAAGGGTGGTGAGTACCAGGAGTCAAACCCAGCAGCTGCCAGGCACAGGCAGCCTGGGAGCAGCTCCTTGCATCCCAGCCCCCGTGTCCCTGCCGTGTCCCCTCTGTCCCTGCCCAGCATACGCTGACAGGAGCCATGTCCCAGCTGGCTGCAGCACCTGTACTGCAGCCCTGCTGCCTGGCAGACCCTGCCCCCACCCCAGGGTGCAGGGGCATGTGTGCAAGCCCTCAACCCCGTGGGCACCCCTTGCACCCCACAGCAACTTCAGCTCCCAGCTTCCACCTGCAGTAGGGTCTCTGCTGCATCCTGGGCACAGACCCCTGCTGCCATCCCCCCGCCGGGGGACAATGCCTGGGGCGATGGTGCCCAGCTGTGGCATGGCTCTGCCCACACTGAGACCACAGCTGGGGCCTCTTTGTTTGAACCAAGCAGCTGCTGTTTGCAGTGAAACTCCGGCCGCGTCTGTTTGCAGCCCAAACACCGGACGGGGCTGCTGGCACGGGCAGCTCCTGCCACAGCCCCAGCTGGCAGCAGGAGCCGGGCACAGGCGCCAGCTGGAGCTCACCTGTACCAGAGGCAGGGCTGTCCCAGGTTTCCCAACATGGCCAAGAGGAGCACAGGGTGCCAAGAGGAGGAGGAGGAGAAGGAAGAGGAGGAGACGGCAGCAGTGAGGAGTGTGCTGCTTGCAGTGAGGATGCCCGCGGCAGCAGGATGCTCAGGAATACATCCTGACCTCCAGCTGGTGCTGGCTTCACCCTGACAGGGCCAGTGACACTCCTCGTGGCACTTGAGAGGGTACACACGGGCCATACCACCCCACACCATGACATGTCATGCTACACTGTGCCACACTGTACTGTGCCATGCAGGTCTCGGTGTGGGGGTCCGGCCACCCCAGGCCATGATGCAGAGAAGTCTCCAACCCCCGGGCTGCCGTCCTTGCTCCAGTTCCCTGCAGAGAGACCCACATCCTGCTTCCCCAGGGATGGAGGATGAGGGGCTCTGGCACTGTCCTGACATTGCCATCCCAACGCAGGGGACTCCCAGAAACCAGGGCAGTGTCCACGGGACTTCATGCGCTGCTTGCGCCTGGAGTCCCCACTCTGTGCCAATGACTCCAGCTGCCCCGCTGGGCTCAAGTGCTGCCACTGGGAGTGCCGGCTCCGCTGCATCCCCCCGGCAGAAGGTACTGACACACCTCTGTCCCGGGGCAGCTGGCACCCCTCTCCCTGTCCCATTGCTATGGAGCAGCCCGCTGTGCGCTGCTAGCAGCCTCCTGAGCGCCGCTGGGATATGTGGATGGGATGGGACACAGGAATGGGTGCACCAGGGTGAGGCAGAGGGGGCTGGCGGGGCAGGTTTCCTGGTGCTGCCCTGGGACCCTGCAGCGCAGCCTCACCTCTCGGCCCCTCGGCGCTGCAGAGAAGCCCGGTGCCTGCCCGGCAGCAGCCCCCGAGGGGCTCATTGCCCCCTGCTCCTTCCCCTGCCTGGAGGACAAGGACTGCCTGGGAGCGCAGAAGTGCTGCCCGCTGGGCTGCGGCTCTGCCTGCCTGGAGCCGGCGCAGGGTAAGGACTCGGCGGGGATGGCCGGGAGCCCCGGCTCTCCCCAGGGACCCTGCGTGCCACAGCTGGCACAGCTGGCTCCCTGACGCCCTGGCCCCTGGGGCAGCACAAGGTGCTTCCCCTGCACCGGCAGCTCCTGACAGCTGCCGGGAAAACCCAACGGCGGGACGTGGCCGCAGGCACCAGGAATGTGCGGGTCATGGCAGGAGCCAGGGGCAGGCAGGGCGCCAGTGGGGGATGCTGAATCGTCACAGCCCTTCTGCCCTGTCAGACCGGCCCAAGCCCAGCGAGGGCCCCACGGTGCAGCCAGCATCATTCCGGGAGCGGTGCCGAGGCGACAGCGACTGCCCCGACGCGCAGAAATGCTGCAACAGCAGCTGCGGCCACCACTGCGTGCCGGGAGTGCCGGCCGGTGAGGCAGGAGGGACAGCGTGGGACAGGGTGGGACAGGATGGGCAGGAGGGCGGGGACATGGCTCAGAGACCGGGAATGACGCCGTGGGGCAGCAGCCACCGTGGCACAGAGCTGTGGCACAAACGGGACCCCTCACCCCACGCTTACCAGGGTGGGTTCTGCCAGGTCTGGGGTGGGGACACACTGCACAGCCCCCAGGTGGGCACTGGAGTGGGGAGGGAAGGGGACAGTGCAACCAACCTCGGGTAAGGCCAGCGTCATGGTCTCGTCCTGCTCCACGGTGCAGAGGACACCAGCCCTGCCCCAGTCACTCAAAGGCCACTGCAGCACCAGTGGGGATGCCTCAAGGACGAGGACTGTCCCCCGGCCCACGTGTGCTGTCACCAGCTGTGCACCAGGCACTGTGTGGCCGCAAGCCAAGGTGAGGGGGCTGGGAGCCGCCCCAAAGGTTGGACAGCCCCACATGCCCTGGTCCCCACGGCTGTGGCTCCAAGCAGCGGCACTGCAGCCACCCCACTCCGTGCCTGCAGGGAAGGATGGATTCTGCCCAGTGCATGCAGGGCTGTTCCCCAGTTACGACTGCAGAGCCTGGTGCCAGCACGATGGCGAGTGCCCCGGCAAGGAGAAGTGCTGCCTCCGTGGCTGCGACTACATCTGCCTGCCCCCGTCCCGAGGTGCCAGATACGGGCAGGGGTGTCCCCCAGCTCAGGGGCTGTGACACTGGGTGGGGAAGGCCCGCTGTTGCTGCTTGCACTCCCAGCCCCGCTGTCTCTTGCCCCCAGAGAAACCAGGCATCTGCCCTTTGGCTGAGGAGGCTCCTCTGGCCCCGTGTGGCACCACCTGCACCAAGGACTGGCAGTGCCCGGGGGCTGAGAAATGCTGCAGCAGCAGCAGATGTGGCTACGTGTGCTCAGCCCCCGAACCAGGTGAGGAGGCTGAAACAGTGATTCCACCGGGAATGCTGTCAGAGCTCCTGGGTGCAGGATGTGGGACTGAGCTGCCACAGGGCAGGCACTCGGATCCCGGGGTCAGGGCACCCCGAGGCTGCACCAAAGGAGGTGCCTGCAATACAGGGTGGTCCTTCCTCCTGCTGTCTCTTCCTGTTCCTCTCAGAAAAACCCGGTGTGTGCCCGAAAGTGAGGCCACAACACACATCGGAGCCGCGCACGGAGATGGACTCGTGCACCCACGACAGGGACTGCTCCCGGCAGGAGAAGTGCTGCTTCTCTGGCTACGCCATGCGCTGCACCCGCCCTGCCCAAGGTGAGCGTGGCAACCTGGCCACCAGCACGGGGAAGTGATGTGAGAGCGGGG